AGCCTTGAGCAAAAGAGCTCTAGGACAGTGCCCTGGCCCCTGAGTTCAAGCCCCACAACTGACCGCCTCCCCTACCCCCCCCCAAAAAAAATGTCTCATGGCCAACTGCGATACTCAATGGTCAGCCTCCTGAGTAGCTAGGATTACAAATGTAAGCCACTAGCACCCAGCTAACTTTTTTAAATAACTTAAGTATTCTCCTTAAGTATTTGTACAAAATGGTTTCTATTCATCATGTCAGTTTGTGAGCACAGTGCATCTTGATCAATGTCACCTCCTTCATTAGTCTCTTCCATCTCTCCCAACTCGACTCCTCCCTTCAGGTTACCAGTTCCATTGACATCCAGGTACATTGAACATTATACTTGCATTTGCCCACCCTTCCTCTCTGTATTTTGTTATAGGACTTTGGGCAAATTTCTTAGCACTTCCATATGCCTAATTTCCATTTCTATGAAAGGGGTTGACGGAAAAATGTAAAACAACTCTCATGTAAGTTTTAAGCACAAGGTGGATGATGCAAACATTTTTCATTGAAAGAATGAACACATTTCAGATAGGTGTAGGGCAGGTTTGTTAGTATCCCACCCCCCCGAATCATTCTGATGGATCTCTCCATCCTTTGAGCTCCTCTTCCCATTAGAGAAGCTCTGATGAAGCACCTAGGTTGAAGGAAATCAAATGTTGTCTTCCAACATGACGCAATACAAGTGTCAGGTAACTGGTGCATCTTCTGGAGTTGATTTCTTTTCTCCCTTTATACTTGAACTCCAATAAAAATGCTCTTCCCAGGAAGAAGGTAGTAGCAGCCAAGTTCATGATCATGTAGATGGTTCAATGCTGACAGGTGCTAAAGTTGACCATACTTTTCTTAGTCAATTTCAAAGGAAGATATGATCTCTGTGAATCTGACCCTTTCCAGTGAAAAGCACATTTACATAAACCTAGAATTTATAAATCCTGACAGATTCCATGATATTTATAGACCTTCCTTTAAAAAAAATACACCTTTGCCAGTCTGCAAAATTCTGTCATTTGACTCTTTGATTATGATTAAGGGAGTTTAAATAACAATAAATTTGGTGATTTATATTCCACCTGGAAAAGAAACTTATCCTTTCTACCCCCTCCCCAACCTCTTGTGGGCTCATTTTGAAGGAGATACCTATAAATAGTGCTACAGACGCTGGAATCAGGAATAGGGAATTGAAATTTGAGAACGAAGTACAGAAACATTTCCATTATCACTGATTTCTTCAGTATATTTCTAAAACATGACTGTTCTCTCCTTTCTCTGGCCTCATCTCAAATGATACTTGAGTCTCCCAAACCTGTTGCCAACTCAAGGATTCAATTGCATTAATGGGAAAGAGAGAAGGAGAGTAATAGCTGACTAAGTAAGAGCAAGTTGCCCCTAGGAAAGCCAAAACAAGTCTCCAATGCCCTTCTTAGATTTCCTACAAGTCAGCAGGTTGCTGGGTGTTGATACCTGAAGCATAAATTCACTATTTTAGACCCATCTTACCTATCCAACAGGTATGATGCAACCCTCACAGTTCATGTCATAGAAAAAAAGTAGATTATCTAATTGTTATTCCAAGAGAAACTTTAAGGATAATGTCAGAGGATTAATTCTTTCATCCATCCATGCTTGTAATTACCTAGTACAGCGTAAGAGGTAAATGTAGTAGTCCCCTCTTACACATAGGTGAACTTTATACCTCTTCAGTTACTCATAGGCAGCTGAAATTCAAACTACTAAATTATAATGTCAAATATTGATATTAATTTAAAATTAAAGTAAATTTTTATTCTGTGTGTGTGTGTGTACCTGTGTGTCTATGGCGAGATGGCTTGAACTCAGGGCCTAGGTGCTATCCTTTACCTGTTTTACTAGTGCTATATCACTTGTGCCACAGCTCCAGTTCCAGCTCTTTGGTGATTAATTGAAGAGTCACACTGACTTTCCTGCCTGGACTAGATTCCAATTGCAATTCTTAGATCTCAGCCTCCTGAGTAGCTAGGACTATAGGATTGTCTCACTTGTATCCTGGCAAGTTTTATCCTTTTTTCAGTGAATTTTATTCATTCATTCATTTATTCCAGTCCTGGGGCTTGAACTCAGGGCCTCATGATCTTGCTTGGCTTTTTTTGTGCAAGGCTGGCACTTTACTACTTGAGCCATCCTGCCACTTATAGCATTTAGATGATTAGTTGGAGATAAGTGTCTCATGGGCTTTTCTACATGGGTTGTTATCAGCAGATCCCAGCCTCCTGAGTGGCTAGAATTACAGGTGTGAGCCACCAATGTCTAGCCCATAAGTTTTCAATTATGTACTATTCTGAGTAAAGTGATACAATCTCACACCACCACTCCATCCCACCCCCAGATGTGAATCATCCCTCTGTCCCATATATCCACACTGCACACACTACATGTGTCACCTACCAACAGTTTTAGACATCAGGCTAACTGTCCCCAACATGGTAGTTATCATGTTCAAGGAACTAACACGAGCCTTCAATGCCTATGTCATTTATTTTCTCATCATAGAGATATTTCATCATCTCACACCATCACAAGAAAGATGAGTACAACGAACTATTTTGAGAGAGATCATCTTCATATAATGATATTATAATATAGCCACTTAATTTTTATTACAATGCATTATTTCATATATTAATCACCATCAATTTTATGACAATATGCTGTTACAATTGTTCTGCTTTATTTGGAGACATATTGCTAATCTCACACTGTCTGATTTATAAGTTAAACTCTATCAGAGATAAAAGTATGTGAAGGAGAAAAAAAAAAACCTTGTCTAAGGGTTGAGTATCATCTGTAATTTTGAAATATATTCTGCAGGTGATAGAATGCATCCTCTGTGGCTAAAGAGAGCCCAGGCTACCTCACGGTGGACCCCCAGTGATAGTATTTTTTGAACAACATTGACAAAATCCTGGGAGTCATTGTTCATAAAACTTTGGGAAGAGCCATTTAGTATAGCCCAAACAGCCTTCTAATATGACCAGAAGGTTTATTTCCAGTGTCAGGCTTGAGTGGGCTGTAAAGAAGGGGAATAATGACAATTAACATCCTTGAAGAATGGCCTATGGGGTAACCCAGAGTAACAAACACACATGGCTACAGTTTCACATGTGACACTCCCCTCATTGAGTACAATTTGGCTGTAGATTCAACCAGTCGTGGGTTAAAAAATGAGATTAGCAAGCCCCAACATGCACACATTCTCAATCTCTCTCTAGCACTCTGTGTTTGAGTAACAGTCACCTCATCTTATTCACATTCTACGTAGTCACATCTATGATTCTTGTATCTATACTGATATTGTATCTGATACTGACTTGATGATATGCCCTAAACAATATAGCATAAACATTATTTACATAACATTTGCTTTGCCATAGATATTATAACTCATCTCAAAGTAATTTAAAATATGTGAGAGGGGCTGAGCGCTGGTAGCTCCTATCCAATTCAGGAGGCTAAGATCTGAGGATCTAGGTTTGAAGCCAATCTGAAAAGAACAGTCTGTGAGATTCTTATCTCTAATTAATCAACAACAAACCAAAAGTGGAGATGTGGCTCAAGTGGTAGAACACCAGCCTTAGTTAAAAAGCCAAGTGACAGAACAAGTCCCTAGGTTCAAACCCCAGTACCAGTGCATAATAAAAGTAGGCAGGAGGGAATGTGTAGGTTATATGCAAGTACTAGGTCATTTTATGTAAGGGACTTGAATCGGTGTATATTCTAGGATTTATAGGGGCCCTAGAACCAGCCCGTCTTTGATATATGTGATAGGGCTCCTTGTCCTGCGTGATCTTTCTTAGAATACAACCCCCATCTCAAGACTTTCTAGAGCAATCTACTTGTCTCTTTTCAGATGGCAGATGTTTGGACCAAACCCCAGAGCCTACAGTGTACCGCATTTTAATGATTTGTGGTGAATAAAGTAAATGTTTTAAAACCAGCCTTTATGAAGCGAGAACCCGGTTATGCATGATAGATTGGAGACATGGCCAAGAGAGGCCAGACCTCATATGGAGGATCTTGTCCTAAGTAGGATACAGGTGTTTAGGGTTTGTGGTTATTTCTAAACCCCTGCTGGAAAGAATGACTTTTAAAGGGCTGTGCTGCTAAGAAATCTTGAAGCAGGAAGGAATTTTCCTTGCTTCCCTTTCTTCTTGGTAATCTCTTTCCAAGATGAAGTGGAGTATTGAGCTGTTAGACAGTTGTTTTGTGTCTTTGCGCCTCTGTGGCCACATTATGAGCCTAACACATATGGGATAAATAAACTGCTTTCATTTTTAAAATGCATGGAAGGAAACAAGATGAGAAAAAATTACCATATTGCTATTTAAATAAAACAAGCTATGATAGAGGATAATCCAGTGAGGGCAAATGAAAATGTTGAGATTTCTGTTTTCTTTTGTAGCCTGTTAGCCATCACAATATGGCACAATTTGTGTTCAATGTCTTTTTCTACTATATTTATATTTATTTTTTAAATTTTTTTGTGCCAGTCATGGGACTTGAACTCAGGGCCTGGAACCTGTCCCTGAGGATTTGTTTGTTTTTGAGGTAATTTTTGTTCATTTGTTTGTTTCTCAACGCTAGAACTCTAACACTTGAATTACAGTTCCACGTCTGCCTTGTTGCTGGTAAATTGGAGATCTCACAGACATTTTCTGCCTGAACTGGCTTCAAACTTAGACCCTCAGATCTCAGCCTCTTGGGTAGTTAGGGTTACCAAGCACAAGCCACCAGCACCCAGCCCCTCTCACATATTTTAAATTACTTTGAGATTAATTTTGATACCCGTCAGAAGGCAGATGATATGTAATCATTATGACAGACAGACAGACAGCTCCATCAATCCATCTCATATTTTCTTGATCTGTTCGTCCACTGCAGGCATTTGGGCTGTGTCCACCAGTGTCTTGATACGCCCCATCTTGTTCTTCTTTCTCAGGGCAATCCTTACATGTGCAATAATGAGTGTGACGCAAGTACCCCAGAGCTGGCACATCCTCCGGAGCTGATGTTTGATTTTGAAGGAAGGCATCCCTCCACATTTTGGCAGTCAGCCACTTGGAAGGAGTACCCCAAGCCTCTCCAGGTTAACATCACTCTGTCTTGGAGCAAAACCATTGAGCTCACAGACAACATCGTGATTACCTTTGAATCCGGGCGACCAGACCAAATGATCCTGGAGAAATCTCTGGACTATGGACGCACGTGGCAGCCTTATCAGTATTATGCCACGGACTGCTTGGATGCGTTTCACATGGACCCCAAATCCGTGAAGGATTTATCACAGCACACGGTCTTAGAAATCATTTGCACAGAAGAGTATTCCACGGGGTATACCACCAACAGCAAAATAATCCACTTCGAGATCAAAGACAGGTTCGCCTTTTTTGCTGGACCTCGACTACGCAATATGGCTTCCCTCTACGGACAGCTGGATACAACCAAGAAACTCAGAGATTTCTTTACAGTCACAGACCTGAGGATCAGGCTGCTGAGACCAGCTATTGGGGAAATATTTGTCGACGAGCTGCACTTGGCACGCTACTTTTACGCCATCTCAGACATAAAGGTGCGAGGAAGGTAAGAGACACAACTAACATCTATCCGTCCTTGAATGTGAATAACTATGTCTAAAGAAAATGTCTGGGTGTGGGTGCCACCGCTGTCAAGCGACATTTTGTCCACTTCAGCTGCAACATTTTACTCAGGAACAGCAGAGTGCAAGTTGGTTTTCTAACGATATTTGAGACCCTTCGACTCAGCAGTCATGTGTAATCTCAGACTTTTGGTGTCATTGAATCTGGCAGAATTCCTTACATTTTAACCAAAAGGGGGTGCAGTGGGGTGGGGCGAGAAAGGTATCTTATTTGAGACGCAAGAACTCCCCAAGGTCAGGAGGTGGTTTAAGGCATTACAACAATAAAACCCAGGACAATAAAATCCAGTTGTTCCTGAAGAGACTAAAAAAAAGTTAAGACGTGCATCTCACATTTTTAAATGTAAGAGAGAGTCACAACAAGATACTACACTCTGTTTATGTTTATTATATTGGATCGAAAGTGTTCTGGAAATAGAAGTGAAATGTCTTTACATGTGTTATGCAAGAACCAAAGCTTTCAGGAAAAATACATTCATGACAGAGGAGTGAGCTCTAATTTCTAAAGTTTTGCCATATTGAATTAAAAGTATGCTAAATATGAAAAATACACCTGATTTCAACACTCTTCAATTCATAAGTCAATGGCCGCTGGACCAGAATCACAGCAGTAATGGTTAGGGTCAGGGCAATTTTGATTTTGATAGTATACTAAAAGTCCAATGGAATTATGAAGAACTTGAAAATATTTAAATAAAAAACATGAATAATAACAGCCAGCACTACCAACATACAAATTTCTAACCAGCTTTCCAAGCCTAGTATGCTATGAAAATAGCCATTTAATGGGAGTCTATGCGTTAGCTAATGAGTGGGGGAAAGTAGAGATGAGAGAAGAATTATAGCAAATTAGGAGGGAAAAATGGAAAGCTAAGGTAAGCAATAACCACTCTAAAATAGATTGAAATGGATGAGGATGAGGTTCAGAACATGGAAAGCATATCGTGTAGGTTTAAATAAGTATTTACAAATTTTAATAGATAAAGGAGATTTGGTCAACTTCCTGGCTTCTAGAATCCACAAGGGCTGTGCAGACTTGAGAAACTGGAAGTGTTAAGACTCTGATATTTAAGAGTTGGGATAGAAGGAAGAACAGAAGGCATTAGTGTTAATACGGTGAAGGCCACAAGAGGTCCACAGAATAAACTAGGAATGACCATTCAGAATGATTTTGAAGGTTTCAGGAAATGTAGCTAAAACCAGGGACATCTTCCTTGTTCTAGTTTCTTAGTCCTTATGGAAAAATCAAGAGACTAGCTATGGGGTCTTATTTATAAAATTTTATCCAAGGCCTTGGTGCTGTATGAGCAAGATTGAAAGCAAATCAGTTTTTTGAGAGACATATGCATGGATACATTTGCATCAGCACAATATTCCAGAAAACTGAGAAGAGTTCACATATTAGCAGAGCACTAAGGCAGGATAATAGAGCTGTTGCCTCAAGCATGAAGCTACTACACATATTACTATATGTATAATAAAATGCTATTATACTCAGGAACATTTTGATAAAGTATTATCAGTTGAAAATACCCTATGCTCAGGACTGTAGGATAGATGATAATAATGGCTATTTTAAACAATAGCATACCAAAAGCAAGCAGCAAGTAGTCAATTCATCTGAAAGAATAAAGGTTAAAATGAATCAACTGAAATTTGAATTTGAATCCCTAGTGTGCTCCGTCTTGTAAGATTCACATAGGTCAGTTTCCAGGCAATATGAGAAATCTTTAATCTGAGCCCAAATGGCTACAGGCCAAGTTGTGCCAAACATTCTCATTTGCCACTGTCAGTAAGGCAAAGAAGGGTTGGAGGTAGGGAAATAGCCAGCTTCGTTTGTTACTGAGTATTCATTTAGCTCTTTGCTGATTATTTAAAAGGAACTAAAAAGTCTGGTGCCAGTGACTCACACCTGTAATCCTAGCTATTCAGGAGACCAGGATCTGAGCATGATTTGAAGCCAGCCAGGCAAAGGAAGTCTGTGAAACTCCTATCCAGTTACTAAAAAGATGGAAGTTGAGCTGTGGCTCAAGTGGTAGAGCACTGGCTTTGAGAATAAAAGCTCAAGGACAGCATCCAGACCCTGAGTTCAAACTCCAGGACTGGCACACCTTCACTCACACCTACCTTCCCCACTTTCCCCCACCCTGCAAAAGAAAGGAAATATAAAGCACCTTTTATAGCCAAAGGCATCTTTATGTATTCTCCACTGGGTTATCCAGGCCATCCTCTAAAGGTGGCAAGTGACAAGCACAGAGTGCCCTGGATTTCCCGCATTTCTTTTATCCCCTGTCCTAGCAGCAAACTCCAGCGGCATTTCAGGGTTCTGAGAAGTTTGCAGGAGCTTTCCTTCCTTCTCTGAAGATTCACCTCCACTGTCTTTTCCTGTCCACCAGTCAGCTGTGAGCTGGTGGGAAGCAGCTGGGCCATAGAGAAAGGTCCAGCAGAGGTGAGCCCCGTCCATACGGTCCCACTCTGTCACCTCCACACTCTGTCCAAATTCCTCAGGGCCAAATTGATGCTGGCAGGTCCTGACTAGACACCAGATGGCTGGAGTATTTTAGTCTTAGGGGAAGGACTAAAGAAGCAAGGCCTCATGGCTCAGGCATGTCTCTAACTTTGAAGTTATGTAAGGAAGGTCTGCTCGTACTAATAACCCTAACAGAAAATGATGAGCAATAGATGGTCCTTGAGACTATTCATCCTAGATGCTAATGTCATTATTTTACTTCTGAAATAATTTAAGAAGGATCAGTGGTCTGCCCTAACTTTCCTTACGTACCAAATCACTTACAGAAGGAATGGAAATTAAAATGAATGCTTCCTAAATGAAAGTCTAAATGTTTTAGCATACAATGATGATCTCTGTTTCCCACTATCCCATGAAATGACTCTCATTTGAGATGTGTGTGTGTCAATACCTGATAATGATCATGATATTCTTCTACTTGTAACTTTCAACCTCATCCCACCACATGTGGGAACTGATATGTTACTTGGTGAAAGTGGAAAGAATACCAGAAGTAAATAACTGTAGAAGAGTTAGCAGAGAATACAAAAATCTATCCTCAGGAAACATTAAACTATCAATAAAAGCAGTTGTACATCTTTGAAAGGGACTATGAATTCCAATTCTTCTTAATGGATGTGTGTATTTGTACTGACCAATTTGGTATAATTCCTGTGTGTATGTGTGTGTGTGAGTGTGTGTGTGTGTTTCTGATACCATGACTTGAACTCAAGTCCTGTGTTCTCACTTGGCGCTTTTTGTTCAAGGCTGGCACTCTACCACTTACAGCTTTTTGATACTTACTTGGAGATAAAAGTCCCACAAACTTTTCTGCTTCAACTGACTTTGAACCTCAGCCACTTGGAAAGCTAGGATTATAGGCCATGAGCCACTGTTGTCCAGGGGAAAAATACTTTGATTATTATTAGACTAATACAGCCTGGTGTTCCTCATAGCATATGATGCACCTCATACCTATTTTTATGGGACAAACTATAATCTCATGATTAAAATTTTATTTCTCTTTTACTACATACATATTTTGCTTCGCTTTCCCTCTTCTCATTGAGTATTTATTAAGATAATGGAGGAAAAAAGAGGAAACATGGCTATGGGCAATCTCAGCGACTCCATAATACTTACATCGTTCAATAAACCTAATAATCTTCACAGACTAATTCTGACTTATGGATGTCCTGCTTCAGTAAATCAGGGTGATTTTCTCTAGTGACTAATAGATGAGTGCAGTGTGCCAGTACCTTAATTAAAGAGCTACTCTCTCAGTCTTGATCTCATTTTAATTTACAGGGTAATACTACAATAATATCACTAATGGAAGGTACATTAAGGGGCATCAAGTAGCATTAACTGTATTAAATTATGGTACTTGTGTTAATTAACTGCTGAAGCAAGATGGTTTTAATGGCCAAAAAGGTCGCCGAGTGCATAAATAAAACCTAACCGGATAAAGGGTGAAAGGAAAAAGGAAGAGGAGATGTTTGTTCTGAACATCATTTCAAACAGACAGGGGGTTAAATTCGAAAGCTATTAAATGCGGATAATGTCCAAAATGTTTCTTACTTAACAGGGCTGAAGGTTTTGATATTTTTTTAAGGATGTTGTTTTCTTCCAAGATTTCCATAATTGCATTAATGAAAAAGTTGAACACTTTGCCAGTTGCACAAATTTTATTCAAATATAAACTCAGAATTCTTTTTGTTTATTTGTTTTTGTTTTTCTGCCCGTCCTGGGGCTTGAACTCAGGGCCTGGGAGTTGTCTCTGAACTTCTTTTGTTCAAAGCTAGCATTCTACCACTTGAGCCACAGTTCCACTTCTGAGTTTTTGGTAGTTTATTGAAGATAAGAGTCTCACAGACTTTTTTGCCTGGACTGGCTTCAAGCCGTGATCCTTCTGAGTAGCTAGAACCACCAGTGCCTGGCTACACTTAGCATTCATTGTTTCTTTGAGGTGAACAGTTCAAGGAGGTAATGTGATTTATTGTAAGAACATTTAAATATGAAAGATAAATGAGCATTTGGTAACATGCTCATTTATTCTTAAGATATACTATCAGCAATGTATCAAGCTACAGGTTTTCGACATAAGATAATAGAAATTCTATTTAACAACAAGAACTTGAGAACAGTAATGAAAGAACTTTCCTCAGTAGCCTAAAAAAAAAACCTGAAATCAGTACCTCTTTTAATTGCTTTTTGCAAAATATGCCTAAAGGTCATTATCAGTATTTTTCCCCAATTGTGTGCATTTGTTTCTTTCCCAGGCTATGCTACTGTAGCTCTATAGAGGTAGCTAGCTGTCAAAATGATAATACTCTTGTCTGATCTTTATCCATAACTCAGATTTTTATAGTTTTAGTTACTCAAGTCCAAAATACCGCTAAAATTCCAGAAATA